ACATCACATCACATCACATCACATCACATCACATTACATTACATTACATTACATTACATTACATTACATACAGACAGACAAACATACATACATACATACATGCATTACAACATACACACATACGCATACATGTATACATGCATACATACATCCGAGAGAGGGAGATTGGGGAGAGAGAGGCTTGGGGGGATGGGGAGGATGGGGAGGATGGGGAGCAGAGGGAGGGAGTGAGGACGACAAAACACACAAGGGAGACAAGGGAGAGAGGAAGAAGGAGAAAAGGGAAAGGTCAATGTCGGCGGACTGAGCCGGAGGCTCTAAAGTTGAGTTAGGAAACTTAATGCCAAAAGTTGAATGCACAAAGTGGAAAGAGTCGACAGAAGCACAAAGCAAGTTAGTAAATAAGTAGAAGTAGAAAGAAGGGGATAGAGAAGAGAGAAATCGTGTGGCAGGCGCAGCATATTGCGAGCTTGCGAGATCGTGAAGGCTACCTCTGTTTAGCGCGCTGTTTGATTCGGGTATTCTTCTCTAATATCTGTCCAATAAATGCTATTGACATTCCAACGTCAAACTAGATAAGCAAGACACAAATTTGATAGCAATTGTTTCCCATATGAATTAGAATGCAAATGGGACTGCGCAGATGATGGAGCGCCTCTATATTTGATTTGGATGTTGGTATCGATTTCAACTGAATTCATTTCCAAATGAGACTCCCTGCAACATAAGAGTAAAACAGGAGTTCAGAGCTGTTGCAAGCACGGTGAAGCTGCGTGTACTTTGCCTACTACTCTGGCAATGATCTTGAATCCCATTTTGCCTCAAAGTGGCTTTGCAGTCAGGCTTGTCAAGATTCGAGATTCAAGATTCAGAAGAAAGATTTCTGGAGAATATTGAATCTCAAAACACTGAGAAAATGCTGTATTGGTAGTCGGTTTGGGAAGGTAGGTTGGCTTAAAAGTATGATAGAGGGAGCAAGAGAGAGATTCTATTGTGAACCAAGTCATCCTTCTTTGGTAAGCATTTGGCCTATTTGTCCACTCTGCGCACCAGCAAACGACTTGCAGACAAGCCGCTTCTTGCTGTCTCCGCTCATATTCCGCAAGGCCGTCATCGAGTTGGTCACACTTCCTGCCATGATTGCAGCCTTTTCACGAGGACAGCAGTTTGCAGCAGGGCAGCAATTCTCCTACAATCGAAGAAAACGCCACCAATGAGAAGAATAAGACCTCGAGATGAATACGAGCCGAGGCAAACAAAACCTTACATGTATGGGAACAAAGCAAGGAGGAAAACAAACAAAACCCAACAAAGCCAGTACACAACTCCATAGGCGGATTTCAACCACAAGTTCAAACTCGTCTCTGAGGTGACCGCTTCGCATGTGAGAAACGCGTCCCGAATTTATCCATCTCATCTATTTGGTTGCTTTGTCTGCTCTCTTTGTCTTCTGTCGCTGCCATGATCTTTCAGATTATAACAGACAAAAGCAAACGCATGACGGTGTTCCCTGTCATGAAGATCCAACGACCGGAATCAAGAAACATACATGCAGGGGAAAAAATAATAGGGCAGAACAAGACCATTGACCGCGCTATCAAGAAAAGCAATCTGCTCAGATTGAGCTCCCGGCAAGGATAGACATGATTCGCTCATACTCATTGCGGGCACTGACATCCATTGAAGCCGGTGTAAACTGGGTGAGGCTCCAATGAAGGGAAGTCAAGTACCTCCAGCTCAGATCGTCGTAGCCAGAAGTTCTTTCAAGACCCAAGTCTGACACACACAAACGAGCAATTAAGGCATTGATGGATATTGATGCTAGGTGAGGTGCTTCCATGCAAACTCCGACGTATAGACGTTGCGGAGTCCTGCAGAGGCCAGGGGCAAACTTGTTTTGCCGTGCTCATAGTAGCAGCTCTGGCAAAGCGCTCATGATTGATGCTCCTGTATCTTCCAGCCAGTTTGGCATTCCTGACTTGATCAGCGTAAAACTTCCGAGCTTCAAGTTGTGAGGACAGAACCAGCTTGCATGGTCAGGTAGCCAACTAAGTACCAAATGCAGGCAATGACGTGATTCAGCACCTTCAGTCTGCCAAACTTTCTCACCAGTCGATCTCTCCGATGCATCCAAATTGTTTGCAATGTCAAGGGCTGCAGCCGTGATTGCGACAATCAGTCTGATCATAGTAAACACCTTGCGCAATGCAAGCCATGCGAGCTGAGCAACACCAACACAATGGCACTTAGAGAATATTGCTTCCGAAGCTGCAATGAACATGTACTCACTATCTATGAGGTCATAGACCATGTTCATCAAGCCTTGGCGGCGCAAATTCGGAAAACAACAACACATATTCACATGTTTGTCGAACATGCTACAATCCCAACTTCATCGCTGCCCGACAAGGTCGGATGCAAGCAAGGCTGCTTTTTGTACTGCCAAAGCAGAAATCGGTAAAGGCTAGATGTCCCGCTGTCCCCTGCATGATCAAGCCAGCAATCTGCAGCCAGTTGCTGCCTTTCCTGGCAAAGTGATGTTCGCAAAAGCGCGCAAATCTATGCGCCTTCCTGGTCCGATGTCCAGAGAGTCAGGTTGTCTCGCAGCAGCTGCATGATCAGGGTCGAGTCCTTGTAGGAGTCCTCTGCCACATTGTCCAGCTCAGCAATGGCATCCTCGAAAGCCGTGCGGGCCATCTTGCAGGCCTCGTCAGGGTTGCCGAGCACCTCGTACATGAAGACCGAGAAGTTCAGGGCCAAGCCCAGGCGGATCGGGTGTGTCACTGCCAAGTCCTTCGCCGCCACCGACGCCGCCTCTTCATAGGCCTCCCTCGCCTTCTCCGCTGCAGCCTTCTTGGCATCCCCATCACGGAACTCGGCGATGTAACGGTAGTAGTCCGCCTTCATCTTCTGGTAAAAGACCTTGGACTCACCGTTTCCGGATGCCGGGATGAGCTTTGAATCCAAGAGGGACAGGATGGTGTCGCAGATCGACTGCAACTCCTTCTCCACCTTCTCGCAATACTCCTTGGCGTAGCCGGCGTTGTCAGTATTGCCCTTAGTGGTCTCCTTCTGCATCACGCTAGTGATGATGCGCCATGCAGCACGGCGAGAGCCAACGGTGTTCTTGTAGGCCACAGACAGCAGGTTGCGCTCCTCAACCGAAAGCTCGCTGCCATCATTACCCACGTTCTTCATGTGCTCGGCCATCTCATCATAGCGCTCCGCCTGCTCAGCAAGCTTTGCAAAGTACACCTCCTTGGCACGAGACATTGCCTCACAATTTTGGTTCCTCCCCAGAAAACAGAAGCAAGAAGAGCCAAATCAATGGCTTGAGACTCAAAAGGGCTACAAGCAATGCCGGCATTTGAGTGCAGCTGAAAGCGTGATGCCCTCAGACCTGCGGTTCCACAAAATCTAGCTTGGGCTGCACGAGGTTCATTGCATGCTACCATGCCAGGGCACGCTAATGATTAGCTTTGACAAATAGTAATAGCAGCTCCTGGTGTGGTTTTCATGTTTTTCTTCATGCTAGGGATTCCCATTTCACTGTACAGCCCAAACAACGGAAACGTCTGCTTCCCATCATATGATGCCACTGTGCTGAACGAACCTTCAAGCCGAGTACTTCTGCCCACTTGCATTCAGGTGGCGCTGGAGCTTCAGCAGTCGAAGAAGTCTAAGAATTCGGATCGCCCGGAACCCTTTAATCATCCGTGCAGCCTGGGGAAAAAAGCCAATGAGACGCAAGGGGCGCAACTCGGCAAATGACCTCGCTTCAGTCATGCGGATCCTGTGCTAGCTTTGCAACCAACTGGCTGTCGCTAGACCATCACCGCCTTCCGTGTTCACAAGGCGAGTGAACCAATCCGGAAGTACGACAATGAGGTCCGGCAGAAACCATGTTTTTAAATACCTGGGACAGGCAATGGAGCTTTCGTCGGCCACAGAAAGACGCATCGTGCTCTTATTGCTCGCTATCTGTGCAGACAGCGGTGCCGGCAAGCTATCTTCTTTGGCGACAAAATGAGCTCACCATCGTCAAAGTAGCCCACCTGGACAACGCAACTCGGTTGGTGGCTATCACCACTTTCTGGAGCTGAGGCAGCAACCATCAATGTGGCAAACATGTCCAGTGTCCAGAACACCAAGGAGATCCAGCCCATCATGGTGGTGAACTGGCCAAAGCACAGCCATCAGGGGACCCACAGGACTTCACTCTCTTCCGACCCAGAAATTCAAGCAAGGAGTGCGAAATCTTCCGCAGGATCAAAGCATTGCAGTGGAATCCACCAAACGTCATAACCTCCAGATCAGGCCAGTTGCAATTCAACTTCCTTGCCAGGTCTTAGCTTTGAGTTTCACCCAAAGGCAGAACTGCTAGGGCCGCCACTGATGAGGATCATACTGGCAACATCCCACGAGAGACGAATAGGAGCATTTGGGCTCATTGGAAGCCTGAGGGCCAAAACTTACTGAGAATGCCCTTGGCCTGGAGTCCGAGTGGAGGCCGAGTGGAGGCTGAGTGGAGACTCTGGAGACACAAGGATTATGCAACATGCCAAAATACGCCAAGGCAGCTGTAGCTTCCTCATCAGTCTGTACCTTGTGGGGCGACCTGTGCCAAGATCCTCAGCTTCGCGGCTTCGGCTCGCTCGCTCGCTCGCTCGCTCTGAGAAGCATGCCGCTACACCTGTGAGGGCAACCTTGTGGAGGTCATGGTTGAGGTCAGCTGTCACACCTTGAGCGAAGCCCGCGAGAGAGCGAGTCTGAGATCAGTCTAGAAGACCTATGAGTCCTATAGTCCCATGAGTCCCATGAGTCCCATGAGGCTCTGAGACCGGTGCTGGTTTCCCAGGCCGATAGCTTCACCGCACTCTTCTGCCACAAAGCATTCGTCTCAAAGGTGAACTCCTTGGCCTGGAGCAGAAACCAGCTGCCAGGCACCCGGACGGGCCATCGTCCTGGCCTCTACAATGCCTCCATTCACCACGATAGGTGCCAGCTTCCTTGCAAGGTCCATTGGGAAAGGCATTCAAAGGTCCATTGAGCGCTGCACAAACCAGAATCTGCAGAACCTGCAATGGCTGTGTCCACAAACACGCGCAAAACCCCGCAATGCTGGCCTTGGGAAATGGCTTGGGAGCAGTCCATGGCGGCTTCTGCAGGCTCTGGATCCTCAATTCGGACCTCGGGCAGCAAATCGAATCGCGCAGGAGCCGGTGTTGGCAGCTTGGCGTCAGGCTTCTCTTGCCGCCATCCGACCAAGAACCTTGCATAGACGAGGAGACAAGCATAGAGAAGCAATCACTCATGGAAAACGGTTTATTCATGAAATTATAGCCTTCTCCTGGTTGAGTGCTTCGTCCTGCGCGCAAGTTCAGAAGTCTTAGTCCAAGTTACGAGCCAGCATTCATCAAACGAACAAATCGATTGCACGCAAGACGGAAGATTCATTCAGTGTCCTTGGCAAAACCCAGCCGCTGTCGCATCCAGTCGTTCTCCTGTCGGAGCCTTGCTAGCTCCTCTTCATACTCCTCGCATTGTCATCAAAAGCCTACTGCACTCAGTTGAGTTGAGGCTGGACTCCTGCTCTATCTCATACACAAGGTCTTGAAATGACCGGAAATTGCCGGCCATCACTGAGCTCTATACACCTGGGAATTCTTGGAAGGTTTGTCACTCCACCTGCCACTTTCTTGGGAGCCTGGCCAACTTCTGGTGAAAAAGTCTGCAGCTTGGCCGCAGAGTCATAGAGTCGAGTCATGGGGCAGGCACCGCGGGCACGGAAGCTAAATCTGCGGAACATGCAACGGGTGATGAAGTGGGCAAGCCGATCAAACCATGATCACGCACGTTGCCCCCAAAAGGCGCATGACACAATGGAGCCGAAGCTGTCTTTCCTCAATTCGCAGTCCTTGCAGTCTCAGTGAAACTCTTCAAGCCGCAGGGCGTGCTTCAGGTTGTCCCTGACTAGTCCACAATGAGTGAGCTCTTGGCAGTGGCAAAGACACATGCTTCACCAATGAAATTTCGGAGCCTGGCTTCATTGCGCCTCACATGCCAGGAATTGGAAAAGACGTCTGCTGACCCAGCTGCCAGCCTCTCCCAGCTTCTTCTTGAAATAGTCTCTGGACCACTGATACAGCTTCATCCTGGCACTGGCCTCAGCAATGAGACTCACTGCTCCCTTCTAATTAGCACAGCCAGTTTGGCACGGAGACAAGGAGAGGGCGGGATCAGTTTCGCCTGTTGAAGGGTCTTCTCTGATGACGGCCTTGGTGAAGTCCTGGAATGACTCACATCCACCTTTCTCTACGTGGCAGCTTGCCTTCAGAATGTCCGGAAGCTCAGGTGGCACATTGATCTGCTCTGCACAGAAGATCCTCAGAAATCAGCGAGCCAGACTTCCAGCCCAAAACATGCTGCTCGCCTGTTGACGTCCATGTTGGAAGTCCCTTTCTCCTTGGTCTCATTTACAATCCTTCTGATATGTTTGCATTCTGCCGGTGCAAACCTCAGATATTGGCAGGAAACTCAGGCGAGGTATTGGCTTGAGCCAAAAGCCTCCGGCTCGACCAGCACACTATATGCACTGAATGTGTGCTCCGCACACACACACACAAACACACAGACACGAGCACAAGCACACGCACACGCACACGCACACGCACACGCACAGAGAGTTTCTACCATTTTACAGCAGGTGCTCTTTGGCACACTGCGCGGCGAATATTGTACACACTCCCAAGCTTTCTGCGCATCTTCAGTTATTTCTGAAGACAGATTCGTCCAGCAGCGTTTTGCTGCCTGGACTGCCTGGTTTGTTTGAATGCACTCCGTCTGAGACTGTCCATTTTCCAAACAATCTTCAACGTGCCACAAGAATGCGAGTCCGGGGGCCTGCGCCCAGTGCCGCAACTGCGCTTCCATGTGATCCTGCAGGTGTGAGACGCGAAGGAGCTTCCGGGCGTCTGCCGTGAGAAAGGAAGCTAAGCTAATCAAAAGCCTGGCAAAGCCTGGCATGGCTTGCCATCAGGAGAGCTTCGGAGAACGCGCTGGGCCAGCAGACTCTGGACGTGCGCGGTCCGCAGCTTGTCGAAGAAGCCGCACTTGACGGAAACTGGCCCGAGACATGAACCATTGCAAGAACAGCAATACTGTTGTCAAATGTGCCGCCATGGCCTTGGAATGTCGACCTTGCAAACTCTCTCTAATGGCAACAAGATGTCGAAGGCTGAGGATCAAGCATCTGATGTCCGCAGAAATTCAGCACTATTTACCCAAACCAGGCCAGGACCAGACCTGCCACTGCCAAGCAAACGTCTAGCAAATGGAAAACTCAGCTCTTGGTGACAAGTTAAGCATCAGGCCCTTCTTCCTCTCCTTCTTGCAAAGTCCTGCCGGCAAAATCAAGTTCAAGCAACGGCACCATACTGCTTTTACCAGCCTCTCCGACGTCTGCCGTGGAAGCCTTCCCAAGGCAACTCCACATGTACTCCGCTGCCCTGTTTGCTCAAAATCTCTCAGTGCCTGGGTCGATTGCTTGGAGGTCTGGAGCCCTTTGCGGTCCTGAAACAAATGTGGAATGCCACAGGGGCAGGCACCTCCGTTCCCAGTGAGTGGTGTTTTTCGCTGTTCGGGGTGCTAACAGTACACCTGCGCGCAAAGCTACGTGACCCCTGCACCGACTGCGGAGGTCCCCTTGATGAACGAGTGCTTACAAGTTAAGCTGTTGAAGCCCCGTCCCTTGCTGCTTTTAACCTTTCAGTACAAGTAGGGTACGCTACATCCACTTTGACAGCTTTAGCTCAAACAGCACACCTGGTGTAGGGTGAAATGCTAGCAGGGCGTTAGCACCCTTTGTAGTGAGATCATGAGTTGGGAAGGGTGAGGAAACGAGACGCTTGACGAATATGAAGTGAGGCGCTGGCATGAGCCTACGTGAGAGCCTACATGGAAAGCTGTTGGGACAGTACCATGCAGCAGCTCTTCCTTCATGCCTGAACGGGCATGAAGCCTACCACTCAGTTGCCCCGAAATTCAAAATGGTCGCCCAAACACTCCTTTGCTATGGATCTAAGCGTTTTTACATAAATGAAGCGTCAACTGGCCGACTACTTGAAAATATCCCTTTTACGTGTCTCTCCACACACTCCTCGCAGCATACCCAAAAACACTCCACCCTACCCGCGCATTCTGCCTGCGCAGGCCTATGCGCGCCGCGGTCCCGCGCAGAAATGCTGCGGTGACAATCCAGTGCTGCACGAGTCCCATTGTAGGATTAGCCCCTTCAAAAAAAAAGGGAAACTGCTTGAAGCTGCTGGCCTCATCGTGTTCTGGCTGTCCCCAATATGCTTGACCTGGGGTATGAGCATCTGCGCGTGCACTGGATTCACATACTGATTTGTTTCTCAGAGCTGCCGAATCAACAGAATCTGCCATGCATGCACGTAAGAGTTCCAAGGGTGGCGCTAGTTCTTCCACATAGCCAACAAGCTTCTCCCACATTTGCTCCCAATGTTGGAACCTGCAATGTGTGATGGCAAGTCTCAGCACCCAAGGGAATTCATGGTCAGGGGGCTGAGCAGACTGAGGCACTGGCTGTTTGGATCCCTCATCAACCTTTTACATTGCTTCAAAAGCAAATTCTCCAAGTCTCGATACCAGCCTTAACATCAAGTTGTGCCCATTTCTCATGCAGGCGAAGCGTTTCCTGACATGCTGCAGTGGCCACTGCAGGGTTGCACACGACATGCGGCGTTTTGCCATCTCCTCCCGGACCTGCTCTGAGACAGCTGACTGCATGTCATCAAGCCGGCGAGACGCGTGCCTCATGCAACTGCAGCAGATCAGCACGAGCGATGCTCATTCAACAAACTGATTCTAGATAGGGAGGAAAATACATGATAAGACACCGAACGAACATGACAAGCTGCTTGTCCCTGTTGCTGGTCTCCACTGCGAAGGAGTCCATGTCCTCCGGCATGCATCTTGTCAAGGAAACCTTTCCGCTTTGGATCGATCCTTCTTGTCCGCTTTAGCCGTGTCCAAGTGCTTCACGGAGTTCCTGGTCGAAGCTAGTGAACTTTGACGATTAGGCTACACTGTCCCCTTGTCCAGCAAATTCATTAAGCTGCTAGAAGCCCCACATGTTTGGATAACTTCCAACTCCGGACCGAAGTAGAACTATGACAAGCAATACAAATATTACACTCGGTGGATATTGGAAAGTGTATGCCGCATGGATCTGTTCCGCCCTCGGAACGCAAAGGACGCCGATGCCGGAGGACCCAAAATTTCAGACACCCCCACAGCTGGATCACCTCTTAGGAAGGTCACTACTACAGAGCCTGTACCCAGCTGCTGTTTGTTTTGGATAGGGTCGGGGGGCATACTATTTGATGATCTTTTCCAGGCGTCAAGCCACTTAAGCCTCCATCATGATCTGGCTCTGTTTGTTTGCGTAAATCTTTGTTTGGATGTGTTATTTTTTGCGATTCGGGCACGGACCCGTGCCCAGGCAATTGGAAAAGCTGGGGTAAACAAGCCACAAAAGAAAGGCCCCAAAACAGCAACCAATCCCCGCTCCCAAAGATCAGGATTTCCCACACACAAGTGACCAAACAACCACAATCCAAACCAAAAGGGAAAAGGATACCCGCAACCTGGGTCGACGATGAACCGCACGAGCACTCCCCACCAACCTGCCCCGGGCCGAAGTCTCTTTCTCCTCCGACACGCGGGTGATCGACGTGGGGACCCGGCGACGCTCATCCGAGGCCGCGACGGATCCGAACTTGAGCCAAACACCACGGGATAGTCGCTAACGCGACATACCCGATCATGTTCCAACACATGGCTAATAACACCCCCCTCACGAGGAGTCTGTCTTTGACGGATGGAGCGCGCCGTTTACTGATAGGAATTAAAGCCCGCCTTCGTCCGCAAACAGCAGGACACTACCGCCATCAGCGGTGGAGCCAACCCACATAGGCAGTTGCGAGACATCCCGGGCATCGGGGTCTGTCCAAGATACCCAGTGAAAAGGTTCACGTAATAACAAGAGGTCACTACTGTTTGCATTCTTATCAGAAGCCATGTAGATGTTTCAACAAAAGAGAGGAATGATAGCACCGGCAAAATGTGCTTCCACCCAAGATTAGAATAATTTAGTGGCAGTGGAGTAACCTCCACTTATCCATTTCCCTTGGACTGGAGCTGGTCCACATCCACCGGCTCTGGCTTGGGCTGAGCCCCACCGATCACCATCTTCACGCGCTGCTCACAGACGTAGATGTGAGGGTGTGCCTTCAGCAGGTTGCCTTTTCAGCCTGAGCGACGCAGCTGGCGCCGACCAGGCGCCCCAGCTGCGGCTCCGGGGATCCTGGCGGATCTGACAAAGTTTGTTTCAAAGATGGGCCCAACGATAGGAGCGCCAGAGGCTGGGCCTCATCGACTCCCTCCTTGACTCCCGAAAAGCGTCGATTACGGACCTCTCCCATGTCCACGTCAGCATCTTCCGGTGCCTCAGCAAACTCGTCAAGCTCCTGCGCCTCCTGCCCAGGTCTGCGTTGCCAGGCAAGATCGGACGTTCGTCCGAGCGGGTCCCGTTAACGAGAGGAATCAGCCACACTCTCCTCAGAAAATTTGAGGAACGCCAGGCAACAGGCGAAGGGTCAGGGGGGGGGTGAGAGGCGTTCACGTCTGACAGGCATCCTCCCGCTCGGCACACATGCGTTATCTGTGAGCGAAGGTTCTGCGTGTCACGCATGAGGGATGACGGGCAGCGTATGGATTGTCACCTCTTGAAGAGATGCAGCGTGTGCCGCAAGAGCGCTCATCGCACTGACTGCGGGAAGGAGATTTGTGACTCACATGCGTTCGATGGCCTGGAGAGGTGTTCCCGTTGCAACGCGTTGCACGGGAAAAGTCCGTACGGTCCTGGAGACGGTTGACGATGGGTTGGCAAGGGCCGAGGGATTTGGGGAAGACCTGTGCCGGAAGATCAATAGGCTTTCGCCTGTCTTTGACGCGTGACGGTCAGGGACCAGTCGGCGCACTCAGAAGCTGTGTTCTCAGGGCCCTCACTGCCTCGGTCATACGGCTATTGGCCGACCTCAGATCTTCTTGCACCTCACTGGTACGTTGAGCCTCATTCCTGCGCTTAGCCATGAGGATCGGCCTTTTTATGGGTCGCCTGAATCGACTCGGACACCTCCCGAGAAATCATTGCCTGCCTGAGCAGGCAAAGCCAGTCCAGATTAACCGATTAATCCAGGGCCAACGAAGACCTAGCCTCTGAACGTACAGCGGCCCTGCTCTCATCTTCGAGCTTCTGGACCTTCTTCATCGTCCATGCATGATGATCCTCGGCTTCTTTCTGGAGAGCAGTCATCGTCACATCTTGGATAGCTTCCTCTGCGTGTCCTTCCGAGGCCCTAACGGTCCTCGAAACCAGGTCCTCCAACGTGGAAATCCGCTGCTCAAAATCCCCGATCGCCTTATTGACGGTGGCGCGCTGTCCCCGGTGCATTGTAAGGCGCTGAGTCCTCACACGTTCCTGCACGAGGTCGCCAATCTCCTCGAATCTCCTAACGGATCTCTGAACTTCGTCGCGCATGTTGCTGAACTTTGCTTCGACAACAATGTCACGCTCATCAATCGCAGTTCTAATGAATTGCTGAGCGTCGGAATAACTTTCCCTTGTTAAGTGCTGAACAAGCCCTCAGGCGCCTGACTTGCCGTCGCTCCTCTGCCTGATTCATGGACGCAATTTGACCATTCATCGTGCGAACTTGGCCCAGAAACCTTACCCCTCTCAACGAGAGAATGAAGATGAGCGTCGAATTCCTCCTCCTCCTGTTCATCAGTGCTCCTAGGCAAACGTGGCTTGTAACAGGAGGAGTGGAGATTTCAACTCTCTCAGGGCGCTCTGTCCCGCTAACGCAAGAATGAGGCACCGAAATGGACAGCCTAGTGGCCGGATTCATTGATCTGCTTGGGCTCAATTCCCTACCTCGGCTAATGCCGATAGCAGAAGCACGGTCAGACCTTCGAAATTCAGGAGTTGAGTGGATGTGAACATCCGCCGCATCCAGTACCTCGGCTTCATGAAAGACGCTTCCCGGCTGGGGGCTGGATCTTCTTGCTTTCAACCTATCACGCCTCTTGCTGTCGGCGACGGGCGTTTCGCCGACACTCTATTCCCTGTTGAGTAAACTCATTACTGGACCTTAGTGGCTCAGCGTCGCTCGGCTCCGCCATAACTGGCTTCTCAAAGGACAATTGAACCCTTTCATCAAGCGCGATTTCAAGCCTGCCGTCACGAGATGCTTCATCAAGAACGCTTGCAGCTTGTCCCCCGAAAGTGACATCAATCAGGAGGGTGCATCAGATTCATCAATGCCTGGCTGGTCCTGCCTATCGGCAGCCAACGCGGCAACGCCCCAGCCCGAGTCGCTTGCAAGATACCATGAAACTCATGCCTGACGGTCCAACGGTGGGTTCCTCCTCATCAACCTGTCCAGAGTTCTGGATTTCAGCTTAGCGGCCCAGGCTATCGCCCGGAGTCCGCATCCTGCCGCGCCCCCGAGGTGTGTTTTTATTGAGAGCACCGCCTGCCGAACTCTCCTCAAAATCTTTGTAGATGAAGTCCGGCACGCCGGTCCTCATCCACGACGCTTCGAAAGCTCAGTGGGGTTGACGTCATAGCACTTGTAGTCGAAGGTCACAAGCACGCAGGAAAGTCTTACGGCTGATAAACTGTGATTCGGGCACGGACCTGTGCCAAGGCAGTTGGAAAAGTTGGGGTAAACAAGCCACAAAAGAAAGGCCCCAAAACAGTAACCACTCCCCGGTCCCAAAGATCAGGATTTCCCACACAAGTGACCAAACAACCACAATCCAAACCAAAAGGGAAAAGGATACCCGCAACCTGGGTCGACGATCGCTCATCCGAGGCCGCGACGGATCCGAACTTGAGCCAAACACCACGGGATAGTCACTAACGCAACATACCCCATGAGGTTCCAACACATGGCTAATCACATTTTTCAAACAATAGTACTGCTGTTTCAGCCCGAAAACAGCAGAATTCAGGTGTCTTACTGTCTTCCACCTTAACACGCAAGCCTCGAGGCTTATGTGGCAGACAAAAGCTTGAAAACTCCCCGATTCGCCTTGGCACCTTGTGTTTTTTAGGAGGGTCCTCGAGCTTTTGCTTTTGTCCCTATTTGCCCTTGCTGCTCCATGCTGTGGGATGAACGAGCGGGCAACTTAGTCATGTAGGAAGATGTTGTTTTGCGCTTTCATTCCTTCAACAAGTGAGCCTGGTCTAGAGCTCCCCTGCCGTAACTTTGCACTCTTTGCATTCTGCTCTTTTCAGCTTATCGCATTGCGTCTTTGCTGTTGCAGCTTATTGCATGGCATTGCATCGTATTTCCCGAATGCGGAGCAAAAGGCTTTTCGTTTAAAGCGTCCGCATGTTGGTGAGTGGAACATATGGCCGTGCCAGTCGGGTTCCCGCAACACGTGACTTTTCAATCAGCCTTGAAGCGCTGAATTCGTTGCGCCTGTGTGAGTCGTGTCTTTTGCGGCGACGCATGTCGTTTCGCTGCGCAGGCGCAGTGGCTTGGAAGGTCGCGTGTCCACGGGGCGGTGGTTTTGAAGCACCTTGCTGGGGGCGCAGGCGTTTCAGTCGCGGTACCTTGGAGGAGTTTGAGTTTGTGACCAGGTTACTTTGCGCAACAAGCGCAGCACTTTGGAGCTGTTTGCTTGATTTTGGCGGCAGGCGCAATACTTTTGAGCTTTCGCGCAGAAGTGTCTTCCCTGTTGCGACATGATACTGCGGGCTCCCGAACCCAGCTTCTGGCACTCATTTTTCCCTGCGCGCGGCAAACGGCTTTGTCTTAGCGCTCCTTGTGTCGAGGGTCTGGACCCCCATCCCCGAGGCTTCTCCAGGGGGCCATGCCTTCTCAATGCTTGGAACCGTTCTAAAGGGCGCTATACCCAGACATGAATTTACTTGATGATTGCTTTCCCAGCTGCCCCCCACTCTCACACGAAGGTTCAACGCACTGAGTACTCTTTCTCTTTTTGCGCTGTTTCGCAACAATCTGGGCCCCTGGGACTGGAAATGGAACCCTGTTGTTTTCCTTGTGGGCAAAAAACCAGCTAGGATCCCCAAGAAATCAAACAGGGGGCCCGATCAGGCCGACGCAGAATCGGCTGGGGGGGGGAAGCGACACAAAGTCAAGGCTTGAAGATGTGACAATCACTTTGCTCATGGCTGCTTCGAAATTCATGTTGGCAACCGGCTTGAGGATCCGAATGGAGAACGCCCGAGCAAAGACTTGAATCTGAAAGTCCGAGATGAATAGTTTGCGCAAAAGCCAAAGTCAATCGCCTCATTTTTGCCCATAGGCTTCTCCCAAGTGGACAGCGCCTTCTCAACTTCTTGTTAACATTTTTAGACACATAGAAACAAGAATTAGCGAGCACACAGAGGATGGGGGAGCACGCAGAAGGCCCGCAAATCCGGAGAAGGCCCGGCAAAAATCCGAGTCTGTTTTGCTCGGCGATGCGCGACGCGCAAATCCGCATCCATGGCTGCTGGTAATGCCTGTGCTGCTGCTGATGCTGGTGATGCCTCTGAACTGGTGACGCCTAACATGCCAACACTTGAGAAGGCACGTTTATCTCGAAAAAACCTGCAAAATCCAGAGGACGCGAGTTCAGACTTCCGATTGTAAGCTGCCTGCACATACCTTGCCAGCCACCAGCAACGAAGGCCTGTTAAATTTGCCTAAGCGATGTTGAAAACTGTCTGCTCGGCTTTCTCGTAACACTCCTGCAACTGACAACGCAACGAACCATTGAAACCATGAATTCCCTGACAGTGCCACATGGCCCATGGCGCACATTCAGTGATGTTCTTCATTTCGCCCATGCGCCTGCCGTGAGTTAGTCAGAAATCCTTGGACATCTTTTTGGGGTTTTCCATGGCTAGAACTCCCGCATTGCACTCCAATCCATACCCCGCTGCAACTTGAATAATCGCGCTGCAACTTGAATAATCGCGCTGCATTCCCATAAGGTGTCCTTTTCCATTTCATGAGGCGTTCACTGCAAGCACCCTGCCGCACGATCTCGTACTTTTTGGGGCGGCACTCAGTCGTGCAAAGCTCTGGCTCCTCAAAGGCACGTCCATTCAGCGCTCGCGAGCAGAGTTGCGCGGAGGTCTGGTAGGCGCGAGTTGAGGCGAAGAACTGCTGTCGGAGGTGCTCTACTTGATTTTCAACTCTACTCGAGCTGTCGACAAGAAGGCAGCGGTCGCCTACAGGCGACCGCTTCAGTTCACGGAGCGCTTGCGCTCCGTTTGCGACGATGCACGTCAGGTATGCCTACTAGAGCACCCGCTCGCTCAGGCGCGCGCAGCTCTGGGGCAGTCGCTGGCGCCTCGCTTTGCTGTGCATTTTTTCTTCGGCCTCAGAACTGCATCTACTTGAGCTGACGCAGAAGGCAGGGCGCAGGCGTCCAGCGTGTCTGCGCGGCATGGGCTCAGCACGCCTCCCTGGCTTTTCTCTTGAGGAAGTCGTGGAAGCGCAATGCCGATGGAGAATTCCAGGGCTCGTGCACACGATGGCATTTGCACAGCATACGCATCACCGAGGACGAGGTTCAGGAGTGCCCAGGAGCACTGCGAGGCTCTGCTTTGACGCGTCCCGGCTGTGTTTGACAGGGAGACATGGCTGATCACGCGCCAGGACCCCGATCGATCATGGCTCGGGCGGGCTTGGTATGACTCGTGCCGACGGCAGCCCAACAACCTTGTGTTTAGGTCGAATTTGGTGGGCAGAGTTGTGTAGATGGTGAGGACAGGCTCGTTGGTGGACAGGGTAGCAAGCAAAAAGTTGTTGTACCAGCACGAAGTGAGGCAGAAGAAAAAACATAACATGCTTAAAAGGCTATGCAAACAATGCTGTCTTCACATGTGTTCTTACATGAAATCCAGCAAGCTGCATGCAGCAGTGCTTGGTGCAAAACACGTGTTCACAAAATTTGCACAACTACGGGACCCTTCTCCACAATCTCCGTGCTTGTTTGCCAGACTTGGATCCGTGCTTGTCTTCCAGATTTGGATGGGGAGGCCTTATGGGTACGGGCTGCTACTTGCATGTTCTTCTAAACGATAAACCACTTTCCGACAGGGCGCACACATCTAGCCTTGCATGATCATATTATGGATCTCGTGAGACCTCGACCAACAGTTAGGAGCCGGAAAAAAGCCGTGCCCGTGCACTGGCGCTCCAGATCAGCAGTGTGTCCCGCATGACTGTCTGCACCTCACGAGCCAGCATGTTTGTTGCCAACGTGGCTTCAATGCACAAAGGATTCCTAGACCATCGTCCAAGTCTGTGGCATCCTTCGTCAAGGCAAAGCTTTTCTGGGCCTGAAATGTCTAGCATGCGTGAAAGTTGTCTTGCATCGCTGCTGGTGCGTCCGTACAGATGCAAAGCAAGACCTGAATTTGCTGCCTCCTTGATGTCGTCTATGTTCTGTCCATGGTCTTCAAGTTGAGTACCCATCTGAAGGGTTCTCTCTTGCATACCAGTGCACTTACCCAAAAGCAGCGTGCCTCATCGATGTGTCCCGTGCTCGATGTCTCAAAGTCACTGAGGTCTGCCCTGACCTGGCATAAGCTTATGTTCTGTTTGCAAATGGAACACGTGCCAGGCAGGGCCTCCGCAATTGTTTTGCCATTCTCAGCAATACCTGCTTCTGCAGCTTTCAGCGCGGCGGTGTTCTTGTCAATCTGATTCCTGGCGTGTGATCCATGGACATAATATGCTGTTCTGGCTTTGTGCGAAAGTTGGAGTGTCCTGATGTCCCTGAATTACGGTCGACACATGCCAGTCCCCCGGCTTTGTGGGATTTCTGAAGTCCCTACCAAAGTGACTGTAGCTCAGTGAAATTGCATGCATCTGATCATCCCTTCGAGCCCGTTTACAAGCTGGACAGCGCGGCTGGTGCTCGGAAAGCGAGCTCTTCGTGGAACTTGCTTCTTGCCTGGCCACAGATCTCGAGCGAGTGCATGCCATGGTTCTGAGCTGCCTCACGGAGTCCATGCCCTGCTCAAGTGCATCACATCTGGCAGGTAGCTTGGAATCCTGCACATTCATTAGCAACACCAGCAATGCCAAGCAGTGCGTCAGCACGTGGCGTGGTGTCCTGGATGGCCTTCTGCACATCAGGGATCAGAGCTGCATAATCCTGCATAGCTCCCGCTAGCCGCAAGCCGCTAGCCGCAAGCCGCTAGCGGCTAGACATGATCTCACCTCTCGGAGTTGATCGGCAAGCACTTCGATAGAAGTATGTCGGACCCATCGATGAAGGGACTGCGACCAGGTTATTGGTGGGCACAAAAGCACAGCAAGCACAGCACGCACAGTAAGCACCGACTGCTCCAAGCCTGATGCTGGCGTCGCTTCGAAACACCCGCAAGCGCATTGCTCAGCCACTGCAAACCAGTTCTCCTTGCGGCAGGGCACCCAGCCCTGATCCGCTAGCCCAAAAGCAAGGAGTGGGACAAGCAAGCCAAGCAGCAAGAGCGGGCTAGCCGCCTTCGAGCACTTGTCCAGGTATGTTGTTGCCAAGCTGTGAGCAAGTCTTTGCTGGCAGCCTCACTCGAAATATCGGGAGCATCTGAGCACTTTGTTGCCAACTATTCCTGGGCAGCTAGCCAATTTCCGCCGCTCTTGGTGCACGGTCCTTGGCACGCGTCTCGGCAAGAGGAATCCAACCAGGAAAGACTGAAGGCCGACGCAACCAAACTCATCACTTGCTTGATTTGGGACTGGCTTTCACGCCTGGCAGGAATCTATGTGAGGCATAACCAACAACGGGCAAAACATAGTGCAATCCCGGATAAAGAAACGTTGGGGTGTCCGCCCTCTTTACGTGGTAGGGAATGTACCTTCCTAACCTCCAAATTCCCAGGCTAAAATTGGACCCGCGGCAGACTCTAGACCCTGGTTCTGTCTTTTTATGTTTGGAGGTGCGGAAGCTATTGTCCAACTACAGCTTTTAAGGCAGTATCTCCCTACATCAGTGCTCCCTGCCTTGGTGTCAACTATCAAAAGGTGCACGCAGAGTGAAAAGCTACATGCATGTACAGCCTGGGAAAAGCAGCAACACCCATGTGTGCTGAAACCCACTGTTATTATCAGTTCGTTGCCGCGCTGCTTTGTTCATGGCAACGCAACTTTTGGTCACCGCTGCCTTGTGTCCGTCGATCGATTCTTCATGTCCTGGGAAGCAGTTCTGCTCGAATCGAAAAGCTTACAGCCAAACGCAAATGCACCGGCCTCCCGCAGAGTCTGTTCCATACTGGCTTTCAGGTCTTCCATGGCATGCAGCACATCCTTGCAGCGAATGTGCGTACCCACAACTCTGCACATCAGGCAGTCATTGGTCCTTCCATAAAGAGTCATACTTGCGCGCAACGGAATCCTCCACCACCTGCCAGCACCCAGGCACGCTGCAGCAAATGTTCTTTCCTCCGAAGTGCGCATGTGCAGCATGATCCATATCACTCACAAGAGCCAACCTTGCACCATGCAGTCTACCCAAATATGCAAAGAAGCAACAGGGCAGCCCCACCCATTTCTGGTGTTGGCTGGGACGGCCCCCTCCTAACTTGTGGCTCACATGATACTACCTGCATACAGATGTGCCCCCTACCCCCCGCTATGTTTCCTGAATGTGCACGACATCACAAACATCGGCTCTGCTATTGCGAGCACGGAGAAAACAATCAATGTCAAGCTTTGCCTGCAAGACAGCTGGAGGCGGGCTGGACATTCTGAAGTCGGGCTTATCTTGAGTTTGATTGCATTAGGATTTTCCGAGTTTGATTGCATCAGGATTTTCCGAGAAAGCCGTCTGCAACTTGAAAAAGTGCAGGGGCTATCCTTGGATCGCCATCTTGGTTCGACAAAGGTGGCCCACCTGTCATTATCCGCCGACCCCTCGCCCAAGGGGAGACACTGACGGTAACGCTACGGATGCTATGAAGATAGTTCTCACCATCAGGGTCGCAGTGCAACGGATGCTATGATGATAGTTTTTGCCATCATGATGGTAATGCAAAGGGTGCTATGATGATAGTTAGCATCGTGTTTACACATATATACATGTCAATACTGACGTTAGACACTGGTGGTGATGCTAAGGATGCTACGACGATAGTTAGCATGATCATGATGGGTCATCATCATCATCATCATCATCATCATCATCACCATCTTCATTTCAATACTGACGATAGAAACTAGTGGTGATGCAAAGGATGCTATCATCATCGTCGTCATCTCTTTTGCTACTCATCCTCATGAATGATGATGGTTATCATTATGATGGTGATGAAAGGGATGCTATGATGGTAGTTGTCATCATCATCATCATCATCATCATCATCATCATCATCATCATCATCACCATCATCTCTTTCTTTTTTAATATCCTCGGCATCCTGAGCCTCACAAGGCTCATTTTCTTAACAGCTGGCTGGCAAGAGAAATTGCCACCCCAAGCAGAGCGGCAACATGCTCGGCATTGCCTGCAACATCCTCTGTTCGTGGTTTAGATTCAGTTTGCCTGGAGCTGGTGCTTCTGGGATACCCAGAAAACAGCGAAACGCTTGCTGGCCGATGCAGGTGCCGTGACAAGGCTGTGCCCTCCGACCAACGGTTGCTGCCGCCGACCCCTCGCATCGTCTGCATGCCCAGCGCCTTTGGTGCATCATCACCGCCCGCGGCCATTAAAGCTCGATCAAGCCATCCATCCATCTATCATCCACCATCCATCGCGCACGGCTCGGTTTCTCCTAAGCGAGCGAGGCCGGTGCGTGGAGCGAGAAAAAAATCTGCACCACGACAAGCCTTCACTATTTGTCATGTTGCCAAAATGCCCGAAGGAAAGAGTGCCAAGCGAAGCAGTTGTCTCGGGGCAAAAACACCCCAGAACGTAGCATGATGCAAACGCATATGCTACATGAAGATGCAGCATGATACGCCAATACCTCCGACATACAGTACTCAGCAAATGTTTCTGAAGTCCTGCCTGTTGGCGATCTCGCACTTGGGTGCCGAGTTCCTCTAAGTCCTGCAGCCGCACCTGGCCATCTAAAAGCGAGAAGCAACTCAAGAGCAACGGCTGCCTTGCTCTTCTCGACGCTTGACGCATAGTCTTCGCACTTCCTGGAAAGACTTCGCTCCAAACTCTGAAAGCGGTGAACATGGCAAGGACCTACAACCCACATGTAAAGGCATATTGCTTCGGAGTCACCAAGATCTTTGCACGTTGAGGTGATGCAGCCAAGCCAATGGAAAGTTTCGAGCGCGCACCTCACAAGCTCTCGCACAGTCTCGTCCATGCTGTCAGTGCGGGTCTTGCAGGCTCCCGTAGTCCGCCCTCAGGGCAGCTCTTCTCCAAGTTAGATGCAGAACGCACATCCAGCTGGCTTAGATCACATTCAGGTCCCAGCCATGTTCTTCCATCTTGGCCGAATGTCTTGTGAGCTCCTGCAATGTCTCTTGGCTGACTCTGTGTACTGTATGTTCAAAAAGAACATCGCCCTCTGAATGTCCTCAAGCGAGCTATCCACCTGAGTGGTCCAAACAGCTCGCTTCAACTAAAAACATCATCTTGCCTTGGCCCGAAGTTGTGCCAATCCGCCGACGCCCTCCTCATCGCTCTCGTGGCGATCAAGTCGATCCTGGCTTGCATTTCCTGCTTTTTTTCGCCCTACCGTGCTTCAGCTCGGCCTTGATCTCCTTGCAGGCTGCTTCCAGCTCGGTCTTGACTCGGCTGTCGAGCGCTTCCATTTCAGACTTGTGCCTGGCAGCAGCACGATCAATGCGCATCAGTGAAAACGCAACCCTGTGCATAAACCAGCCTGTCCACATCCTCCTTCAGCTGTTGAGAATCACGTCCGCGCTCTTCAACACGGCCGGACAATTCCTGCGTCCAAATTGCCATTGCTGACAATAACGATTCAGACAAGGGGAAGATATCAGCTGGGGTGCGCTGCTTCTGCGTGTCCTCGTAAGCTTGCTTGAGTTCATTTATTCTTTCCTCCTGAGGTCTCAACTCACCACATGAATGCTTTCCCTCCACTGACAAAGGCAAGCTGGCCTGTTGGCTTAGCTTGTCTGTAATTTCCTGCAATTCACCTTTGATTGCAGCCTCACGGGGATCTGCTCATGATGTGCGATCCAAATGATCAACAACTGATGCAGACAGCGCACAATACAACCCACCGCGCAATTCTAACATGAAACATTGCAATGATTTCCAGCTCCAAATCTTGTACATGGCACGGCCTTGCCTTGACAGCCTCATCAACCGATGACATGAGAGGTCGAAAGTCAATTATTTGAGTCCAGCTCGCCAAATGTGTTCAATAGCTTGTCTCGGCAGGGCGGAGATGATCTTGCCAATGTACCAGTCATGCTGACATTCTATCCTTGATCCAATCCTGTGCAACGAGCATCTGACTAACGATAACAACAATTATTTTCCCTGTTTATGCAAACTCGCGTGCTCGGATGACTTGGACGTGTGAGCAGCGTATTTGACAGTCTGATTTCTTGCGTGCCACACAGGTCCTGTACTGCCACTGCGGATCGCGGATTGCAAATGGCCAGCCAAACAGGGGCTGGCAAGTGCAGGATGCTCATTTGGGAACCTTACTGCACACTCCGCTTGGCAAGCGCGCCTGTTCTTCAAGCTTTGGAGTGCAGAGTGTCCGCACAGTTTGTACGACAGCCAAGCTCAGCTGTTGCACCCGCATGAGTAGCTGGGAATGGAAGTAATTGTTCCCAAGGAATTCAACAGCTTAGCATTGGCTGCCGGGGACGGGAACCTACAAATACATCCCCTCTGGATAGGATCCCTTCTTTTTGTACAAAGCTTTCTCTTTGGCTTTCCTCATGTCTGCCTGGACAATGCAAGGTGACAAGAGCTGATTGATAAGAGCTGATTGACTAGAGCAAATTGCCGCAGTGTAAGCAAACTGAGCATTGTGCCAAGGAAGCACTGTTTGTCGCTGCTATTGCCTGTCAGACCGTGCCTGAGTCACCTTCATGCGACGTTCCCGGAGTGCGAGCATTCCTGCTTCGGTGCAAATGGCCTGCGAAGACAGCGACGGTTTCAGAAAGCGCTTCCTAAATGCAGCCAGCCTTGATGTCAGCCCCGCTAAGGTCGTCCTATCCACAAACGAGATGCTCCAACAAACACAATATATCATTTGTGTGGACTTCGCGTGACCCACCACAGCAGTCAGCAAACACAAATCATGCAAAGAAGGCTTCGCGCAGCTGTTTTTGACCTGGCTCCTTGGCCACAACGAACTCTTCCAGGTTCACGTCGTCAGCCAGGGTCATCTTCCCCCTACCAACAGCCAACTGCGTTGCTGCCGCAACCAAAGACGCGGGCGGGATCAGTGCTAAGCTTCGTGCGTGTGGATCTGGAAGATTCGCCGCTTGGTCTTCTCATCCGGCAGCGGAAATTCAATCTTTCGATCAATTCGGCCTGCGGTTGTTCCGCAACGCTGCGTGTGGTTCAAGCACCAAGCAATGTGCTTTATGCAGCGTAGCAGCAAGGTTTAGCAACACAAAAGAAGCGGACGCCTGGTCGGATCATTGCAGGATCCAGGGACTCTATGCGATTTGTGGCCATGATGACCTCCACAAATCATACCAAATTCATACAAAATGTTGGCCATGCAAAGTCCAACCTTGACATCTCCTCTGTCATCAAAGCCATCCAGCTGGTTCAGCAGCTCCAACCTCATCACGTCTCTCGCACACATCTAATGAACTCCCACATGTTGCAAGAACAACCCATGACAATTGGAAGTAGCACATCTTTAACGCCAAAAGGCATTGTGCGCTGAATCTCTTTCTCACCACCGCTGGTGGTATCATACCTACGCCGATCATGAAAGAGCTGACATGTACCCTTGTTGCACACACACACACACACACACACACACACACACACACACACACACACACACACGCACACACGCACACGCGCGCACGCACGCACACGCGCACGCACACCCGCACACGCGCGCACACAGACGCGCACACACACACACACACACGATGACCCAACAGACAACGTTCGAAGGCTCTGCTTTGCGTGCTTTCAAGTCTGCTGATAACGTGCTGGAGTCGTTTAGCTTGGCAGCTCTTGATTTCCATAGACACAAACACACTTAAACTTAGTTGCGCCACCAAGCACAAAGCACCCATTCAAACATCCCACATCGATTCACCTGCCAAGCTTTGGTTGACAAGTTGACCTGCGACATGTAGAGTTGGGACGAAACTGTTCGGTGTCTGCTGCACGGGCAAGCCTGGTAAGTCGGTCAACCAAGAAAAGAATTGTTGTCTGTAACATCTCATAAGCAATCCACCTGCATTGCAATCTAGAAACACTTGTCTGTTGACGTACACAGACTTGTTGAAAGTGGCTTCATTGTTGCTTTCTTCTTTGCACCCGCCTCTGTTCAAGAACGGAACACGGCCTTGCCACTTTTCCAGCAAATGAAAGAGCATCAGGACATAGACGGACATGGATGACTAGAGAAGCAACTATTTCGGATCCTGCTTCCAGAGATTCACACTGGGAGCAGCATGCTTTGACAAATGTCAACAAGTTGCTGCTGCTATTGTTGTTATTGTCGCTGTTGTTGGTGGTAGCGGTGGGTGTTGTGGCGCTGATGGTGGCGTTGTTGCTGGTGACAGCGTTGCTGTTGCTGTTGTCATCGCGGTTGTTGTTGGGGGTGGCGGGGGCAGGCGGCGGCGACGGGGGCAGGCGGCGGCCGTGATGGGTGTCGCTGTCGCTGGTGCTGTCGCAGTCATTGCCGCTGCTGTTGCCGTGGACGTCATTGCTGCTGCTGTTGCTGTTGTTGTTGTTGTTGCTGCTCTTGCTCTTGTGTTTGTTTCTTGTTCTTGTTCTTGTTCTTGCTTCTGCTCTTGCAGAAGCGGCCGTTGTTGCGGCTGTTGTTGCGGCTGGCGTTTTTTGTCGCGGTTGCCGTTGCTGTTGCGGTTGCGGTTGCGGTTGTCGCTGCGGTTGTGGTTTCAATTGGTGTTGTCGTCGCCGTCGTTGCTGCTGGCGTTGGCTTTGGCCTTGGCACTGTTGTTGTCGCCGTTGCTGTTGCTGCTGCTGGTTGCTATTGCTGCGTGCATCTTCTCAGCGCTGCACACACGCGTGCCAAGTGATAAGCACACATGCTCCATGGCATGCCCGCGCTAAAGCGCACTTGCCCAGCGCTGCGCACACAACTGCCGCGCAATAATCCCACGCGCCCAAGAGCGCCCGCTCAAGTGAACGAGAAGAATCGCACACCGCTCGCTGGCTCGTTGCCACACCTGAGGGCTCCGGGCAGGCGACGCACCCTTGAAACTTTGCCGTTGCTGTCGCTGTTGTTGCTGCTATTGTCATTGCGGCGGTTGGTTGCTGCTGTTGCTGTTGTCGCTGCGGCGGCAGCCGCTGTTGTTGCTGCTTTTGTTTTTGCGACGGGGCTGGTTGTTGTTCATGTTGTTGTTCTGTTGCTGCTGCTGTCGCTGCTGGTGTCGTTGCGGTTGTTGTTGGTTGCTGGTGGTGGTTAATTGTTGGCGGCTACTGGTTTTTCACAGTTGGTTGGTTGTTGTTGCTGGCGCAGCTGTTGTTGCTGCTGCGGTTGTTGCTGTTGTTGCGGCTGCGGCTGCGCTTGCGGTTGCGGTTGCGGTTGTCATGTCTCTGCCGTTGCCGTCATTGTCGCTGTCGCCGCCGCCTCCGTCACCGTCGTCGTTGTCGTTGTCGTTGTTGTTGGCGCTGGTGTTGTTGCTGTTGTTTGTTGCTGCCGGTTGTTGGCAATTAGGGGTTGCCATTGACTATCGGCTGTTGCTTGTCCCTGGCGGTTGGCGATTCTTGGCTGGTGGCTATTGACTGTTAGCCGCTGTCACGAATGCTGCTGTTGTTGTTGCTGTTCTTGTTGGCGGCGGCGGCACCATCGTTGGTGTTCTTGGTGTTGACGTTGGTACGTTGGTGTTGGACGCTCGACTGCGCCGACTCACTCGTGCGTGCCAAATTTTACGAACACATGCTCCAGCGCACCCGCGCGGCGCTGCACACACGCCAGCCAAAAAATAAGAACACCCGCTCACTGCTCCCCGCGCACCTCTGTACGCGGGCCACCCACATGATAAGAACACCCGCTTCAACTGCGTCCGCTCACCCCTGCGCACGTGCCAGCTTTCACTGCGCAGTACATGTCATCAAGGTCCGTTGGAACCTTGCAGAACTCCAGCCACGTCTTGCGTCCAAACATATTGCCAGTGGCAAGTTTTGCAGCAACCCGGAAACTTCCTTTGCGTTGAGAGCAACTTGGGCTGGCCGTGCGCGAACAGAGCGGCGGCGGCAGCGGTGGTCTTGTCGGTGTTGTCGGCTCTTGAAAACAGCTGTTTCCAGCTGCAACAGGTCCACGACAGCGAACAACGCAGGGCTTCACGTTCTTGCTGTTCGTTGATCGACGCATGTTTTTATTGGTTGTTGCTTGCTTGCTGTTGCCGTTGGTTGTTGCTGCTGTTTTTGTTGTTGTCGTCGCTGTTGCTGTTGCCGTTACTGTTGCTGTTGTTGTTTTTGAGTTCTTGTTGTTCTTGTTCTTGTTCTTGCGGTTGCTCTTGTTCTTGCTGTTGCGTTGTTGCCGTTGTCGTTGCCTCTGCTGTTGGCATTGTCTTTGTCGGGGTCGTTGTCGTTGCTGTTGCCGTTGACGTTGCCGTCGCCATTGATCGCCGTTGCCTCTCCTTGCCCTTATTCTTGCCATCGTCCTCGTCCTCGCCCTCACCCTCGCCCTCGTCCTCGTCCTCGTCCTCACCCTCGTCCTCGCGCTCCGCGCTCGGGCTCGTGCGTGTTCTGGCGCTTGTTCTTGTTCTTGTTCGTGTTCTTGTTCTTGCTCCGGCTGCTGTTTCTATTGCTGCTGCCATTGTTGCTGGTGTTGTTGGTGCTGTTGCCGTTGCTTGTGTTACAGTTTGTTGGTTGTTGGTTGTTAGTTTTTGGTTGTTGGTTGCTGGTTGTTGGTTGCTGGTTGTTGGTTGTTGGATGTTTGGATGTTGGTTGTTGGTTGTTGCTGTTGTTGTTGTTGCGGTTGCTGCTGTTGTTGTTGTTGTTGTTGTTGTTGTTGTTGTTGTTGTTGTTGTTGTTGTTGTTGTTGTTGTTGTTGTTGTTGTTGTTGTTGTTGTTGTTGTTGTTGTTGTTGTTGTTGTTGTTGTTGTTGTTCTTGTTGTTCTTGTTGTCCTTGTTGTTATTGTTGTTGTTGCGGGTGTTGCGGTTGTCGCGGTTGTTGCGGTTGTTGCGGTTGTTGCGGCGGTTGTGGTTGCGGTTGTGGTTGCGGTTGTGGCTGCGGTTGTGGTTATGATTGTTCTTCTCCTTGTTCTTGTTCCTGTTCCTGTTCCTGTTCCTGTTCTTGTTCTTGTTCTTGTTTCTTGTTCTTGTTCTTATTCTTGTTCTTGTGGTTGTGGTTGGGTGTGGTTGTGGGTGCGGTTGCGGTTGTGGTTGTGGTTGTGGTTGCGGTTGTTGGCGGTGACCTTCTGACTTCGCGGCGTGTTTTAGGTAGCTGCGTTGTTGATGCCACATTATCCACATGCTGGCACATGATAAGCACACCCGTTCCAGCGCACACCACCACGCTCACGCTGGCAGATGATAAGCACACCCGTTCCAGCGCACACCTGCCACTGTCCACATGCTGGCACATGGTAAGCACACCCGTTCCAGCGCAGACCCGCCACACCGCCCACACGCTGGCACATGACAAGCACACCTGTTCCAGCGCACACCCGCCACACTGCCCATGGTAAGCACACCCGTTCCAGCGCACACCCACCACTGCCCACACGCTGGCACATGATAAGCACACCTGTCCAGGATAAGCAAACGCGTTCCAGCGCACACCCGCCACACTGCGCTCATGCTGGCACATGATAAGCACACACGTGTGTTGCAGGAGCTCTTGACTTTTTTTAAGACCCTTGTTTTTTTCTTCGGGGGTGCCCGGTTCCTTCTACAAAAATTTGCTTGACCCCCTTTTTTCCCGGGATGATTTATGATTTTGGAGCGCCCCCCGGTTCCTGCTAAAAAAGGAAAAACGGTTCAAGCAGTGTGTGGGAAGCTCGTCCTTTTTTCAAGGCCCCCCCCCCCCTGCTTTTTTGGGGGATGATTTTGGGGCGCCGCCCAGCTGAAGCAGGTTCCAGACCTTACATTCAAGCAGTGTGTGGGAAGCTCTCGCCCTTTTTTAAAAAAGACCCCCTGTTTGTTTGATGATTTTGTGTAAGACAAACTTTGTCCTCGTTCCCTCGCGCACGACAGGCCGGTTTCAGACAGTCATATTGTCAAATCACGCACGCCTGACAGAGGCCGCAAAGGCAGAAGCACACTTGGTTGTCGTTGTTGTTGCTGTTGCTGTTGCTGTTGCTGTTGTTGTTGCTGTTGCTGTTGCCGTTGCTGTTGCTGTTGCTGTTGCTGTTCTTCTTCTTCTTGATCTTCCTCTTCTTCTTCGTCCTTTTCTTCTTCTTTGTCTTCTTTGTCTTCTTTGTCTTCTTTGTCTTCTTTGTCTTCTTTGTCTTCTTTGTCTTCTTTGTCTTCTTTGTCTTCTTTGTCTTCTTTGTCTTCTTTGTCTTCTTTGTCTTCTTTGTCTTCTTTGTCTTCTTTGTCTTCTTGTTGTTCTTGTTGTTCTTGTTGTTCTTGTTATTCGCCTCGGCCCCCAGGGCCGGAAAGTGGTCGGACCGCTTCAGAACCTCGTCGGGGTCTTCTAAATGGCCTGGAAGTGAGCCTGAAACAGCCGGTTCAACTCCGGTCAAATCCCGCTAGAAACCCATTGGAAACCAACAAAATCCCCCTTTCTAACACACAACAGTCTAGAAGTTTGCACCTGCGCGTGGCCCGCCATTCTGTAGCTCTCTGCGGCTCTCGTTCTGGCCTTGAAGCCATGTGGAATCGTGCTGACACGCGCCCGCTCTCTAGCTTGGAAATCAGCTCACGCGTTTCGGCGCCGACTCACTCACTTTAACGACAACATTTCACGGGAAACTAACGCACAGCACACACCTCAAAGCCAGCCACAAGCGGGCTGGCCGAGGCGGGCAACGCGCAGCGTCTACAATTATTGTTGCTCTTGTTGTTGGTTGTTGGTTGTTGGTTGTTGGTTGTTGGTTGTTGGTTGTTGGTTGTTGGTTGTTGGTTGTTGGTTGTTGGTTGTTGGTTGTTGGTTGTTGCTTGTTGTTGGTTGTTGTTGGTTGTTGTTGGTTGCTGTTGGTTGTTGTTGCTTGGTGTTGCTTGTTGTTGCTTGTTGTTGCTTGTTGTTGGTTGTTGTTGGTTGCTGTTGGTTGTTGTTGCTTGGTGTTGCTTGTTGTTGCTTGTTGTTGCTTGTTGTTGGTTGTTGGTTGTTGCTTGTTGCTTGTTGCTTGTTGCTTGTTGTTGGTTGTTGTTGCTTGTTGCTAATTGTTGTTGGTTGTTGTTGGTTGTTATTGCTATTATTGCTATTTGTCTTTCTCTTGTTGCTGTTGTTCTTGTGATTGTTGTTGCTCTTGCTGTCGTTGTTGTCGATGATATTCTTGTTATTGCAGTTATTGTTGTTGTTGTTCGCGTCGCTCTTCTTCTTGGCGTTGTTGTTGTTGGTTGTTTGTTTTTGTTGTGTTGCTGCTGCTGCTGCCGTCGTTGTCGATGCTGCGGTTGTTTGTTGTTGGTGTTGTTGCTTGTTGTTGTTGCTGTTCTTAATCATATTGTTGTTGTTTGTTGCTGTAATTGTTGTTGTGGTTGCTGTTGTGATTGTTGTTGTTTACTGCTTATTGTTTATTGGCTTTGTTTGTTGTGATTTCTTGCTCCTTTGTTGTTAATAGTTCTTGGTTGCTGCTGTTTGTTGTTGTTTGCTGTTTGTTTGTGGTTGTTGTTGCTGTTCTTATTGGTGTTGTTGTTGCTTGTTGTAGTTGGTATTGTTGCTGTGACTGTTGTTGTTGTTGTGATTGTTGTGTGCTGTTGTTTGGCGTTTTCTTGTTGCTTTGTTGTTGTTTGTTGTTGCTTGTTGTTATTCGTTGTTGTTTGGTGTTGTTTGTTGTTGTTTCTTGTCGCTTGTTGAATGTGTCTTGTTTATGGTTTCGTGTTTCTTGTTTCTTGTTTGTTGTTTGTCTTCTTTTGTTGGTTATTGGTTGGGTGTTGTGTGCTGTGTGTTGTTTGTTGCTTGTTGTTTTTTGTTTGTTGATTGTTTGTTTGTTGTTGTTTGTTGTTGTTTGGTGTTGTTTGTTGTTGTTTGTTGTTGCGCGTTGTTGTTTGTTGTTGTTTGTTGTTGTTCGCTGTTGCTTGTTGTTGTTTGTTGTTGTTGGTTGTTGTTTGTTGTTGTTTGTTGGAGTTTGTCTATTTTGTTGTTTGTTCTTTGTTGTTTATTGTTTATTGTTTGTTGTTTGCGCTTGTTGTTGTTGTTGTTGTGGTTGTTGCGGTTGTGGTGGTTGTTGCGGTTGTTGTGGTTATTGTTGTTGGTTGTTGGTTGCTGGTTGTTGGTTGTTGGTTGTTGGCTGTTGGTCGTTGGCTGTTGGTTGTTGGTGGTGGTTGGTCGTTGGTTGTTGGCCGTTGGTTGTTGGTTGTTGGTTGTGGGTTGGTTGTTGTTTGGTGTTTGGTGTTCGGTGTTTGGTGTTGTGTGGTAGGTGTGTCGTGCTTGGTGTTTCGGGATCGGTGTCTGGCGTTTGGCGTTTGGTGTGGTTTTGGTGGTGTTTGGAGGTGTTTGGTGGTGTTCGGTGGTGTTTGGTGGTGTTCGGTGGTGTTTGGTGGAGTTTGGTGGTGTTTGGTGGTTCGGTGGAGTTTGGTGTTGTTTGGTGTTGTTTGGTGGTGTTTGGTGGTGTTTGGTCGTGTTTGGCGGTGTTGTTTGTTGTTTGTTGTTTGTTGTTTGTTTGTTGTTTGTTGTTTGTTGTTTGTTGCTTTTTGTCCTTTGTTGATTTTTGTTGTTGCTGTTGTTTGTTGTTGCTATTGTTGCTGCGGTTGCCGTCGCTGTTGCTGTTTCTGTTGCTGCGGTTGTTGTTGTTTTTAGCTGGTTGGTGTTGATGTTGGTGCTGGTGCGATAGTTGTGTTGGTGTTTGTGGTTGTGCTGCTGTTGTTGCTGTTGGTTGCGCTTGACTGTTGTTTGTTCGTGTCTTGTTTGTTGCTGGCTTTTGCTGTTGCGGTTGTTGTTGGTTTGTTTGTTTGTTTGTGTCGTTTGTTTCTTTGGTCTTTTGTTTGGTTGGTTGGTTGTGTGGTTGTTTTTGTTTGTTTGTTTGTGTGCTTGTTTGCTTGCTTGCTTGCTTGCTTGCTTGCTCGCTTGCTCGCTTGCTTGCTTGCTTGCTTGCTTGCTTGATTGTTTGTCTGGTTGTTTGTTGTTGTTCTTCGTGGTTTGTTGTTTGTTGCTGATTGTTGGCTGTTTTACTTTGCTTTCTTGTTCCTAGGTGGTGCTGTTGTTTTCTGTTGTGTTTGCTGTTGTTTGCTGTTGTTGCTGATGTTGTTGTTGTTGCTGTTGTTGTTGCTGCTGCTGCTGTTGTTGTTGTTGTTGCTGCTTGTCCACATGGAGCAGCGGGACCACCACAACCACAACAACGACATCAACCAAACAACAGAAAACAAGAGAAACAGAAACAACAAGCAACAACAACAGACAACGGCAAACAACAACAAACAGCGGCGACAATGACAACAACACCAACACCAACACCCAGCACCAACATGAATGCCAACACCAACACAACAGCAACAACAACAACAACAACAACAACAACAACAACAACAACAACAACAACAACAACAACAACAGCAACATCAGCAACATCACACACACACACAAAGCACAGGCACGCACATGCAAACCAACCAACGAACAAACAAACACGCAAACACAACCACATACACACACACACACACTGACACACACACAGAGACACACGCACGCACGCAGGCACACACGCACGCATGCACGCACGCACGCACCGCGCACAGACAACGGCGCTCTGAAAGATTTTTTGCCGCGCAATATCGTTTAACTACTGGCAGGGGGCGCCTCTTTGTGGCCACAGCATCAATCTCATCAATGAAGATGATGGATGGAGCATGCTCTTGAGCCACCCGAAACATCTCGCGCACCTGGCACAAGGCAAGCTTGTTTGCCTGCCTGCTTAGCTTCTTACACACCAAGTAAAAGGCCTCAACATGCCAGCAACGCCAGCTTGGGTCCCTCACCAAGATACTTCTGAATCAACTCACTTCCAACCTTGGCTTGCTCACGATTTGCCGAATATAAAAGGCTTCCGGAGCACGACCAGTCGCTTTCACGTATCCACCCTCCTCTTAGGACAAAGACCACACGCAGGAATGTCGCTGATGTTTCACTGGCAACCGCCTCGAGACATAGAGCTGAACACGCATCTTGTGTCTTTGCGCGTGTCTCCAGCATGTGTGCTTGGCGATGTCACTTGAACGCCTTGGCCAAGAGTGTCTTCCCTGTTCCAGGCACGCCATATAGAATGACCTCGCGAGAGAAAAGTGACTTGGAACAAAAGACAAAACAGCAAACACGGGACAACAGCTTCAAAAATGCTTCCACGACACTCCCTTGGGAGGCTTGATGCCAACGTCCTGTCCAAATACAAACAGGCATTTATCGAGCACCAATCATGCTGGCGCATCGATACAGGCAAAACAGAATGCCTCATAGAGCTCCGGATGGGTTAGCGGCAGCTCAACAGCCTACGTGGCGCTAAGTCACACAAAGGCTGATGAAAAAGATCAGCTTTGACGCGAGCCGTTTCTTGACGCCGGACCTCCTTCATCTCCATGATCTGCTCTTCAAGTCCTCCAATGTCTCCGTAGGATTCGGTTGGTGCCTGTCAGAAGAATAGAAACACCTGCCCAAAACAACGCCACGGCTGCTCACGCCTTGTCCACCTTCATGACGCTCACAAGAGGATTCACTTCATCCACAAGCAGCCCGATCACACCTAACAAGACTCCAAGCGCAAACAATTGAAGGCAATGCCTTTGTTGAAGCTAGGTCACTCAAATTCTTGTGGTGCATGAGGATTGAGGAGCCCGGTTCGAGCTGATCCTTTGCGCAGCTGAGTTGCACAAGCAATCATTGTTCCCTACCATGAAGCGGTTCCTTGTCCACAAAAGAAAGAATGTTGACATAGTACCTCAGCTCAGCAACTCTCTCCAAAGTGGAGCAAAGGACTCGCTCTTGAAGCCCGATGAGCAAAGTAGAAAGCCGCCCTCTAGTAGGACAATCTGTCGTCCAAGGAACTCAGGTCCCATTGCAGTGGACACAATGCAGTGATTCCTTGGCGCAAGGCATCGGTCAACGGAAAAGCAGGAGGCGGCAGGCGGAGGGCTGAGGGCAACACTCATCGATGAATTCTTCGAGCGAACCCACGTCCATGGGCGTGCCGCGGATATCGTCCAGCTTGGACCTCCGAGCATGTGTGCGGCATGCGTGTGTTGTGCGTAGTGCGTGGTGTGTGGCGCATGGTGTGGGCAGTGTGGCGGGTGGTGTGTGGTGTGTAGTCTGTGTGTGTGTGTGTGTGTGGGGTGTGGTGTGGAGATTGTGGTGTTGTAGCGCGGTGCGCAATGCGCGGCGCTCGGTGTGCGGCGTGTAGAGCGCGGCGCGCTGCGAGCGGTGGCGCGGCGCGGCGCGCCGGGGCAAGCGGTGGGGTGGGGGTGTGGGGGTGGGGGTGGGGGTGTGGGGGTGGGGGTGTGGGGGTGGGGGTGGGGGTGTGGGGGTGGGGGTGTGTGGGGGTGTGGGGGGGTGTGGGGGGGGTGGGGGAAAAAATGTAGAAAAGGCAGATTCTCGGGGGTGGGGGGTAGATGGTTGCCTGTTCTGTTTTTTATTTCACATTTCAACACGTGTACCACCTTATTCGTTTTTTCAAGGCTGATTTTGGGGGCATGAAATAACGATATGGATGTGGTAACGAATTGATGATTTGGTCCCCTGTTTCGTTCCAGATTTCAACTTTTAGTTTTATTGATTGAAAGAGGATAGGACTTTCTGTGGTTTCATGGGTTGGCTTTTGGGTGGGTGTTGTGGTTTGTCATTGACTGATGATTTATGTTATAACTATGGTAAAATTATAACCTATAAGTTGATAAATGTTGTAATCATATTATAGTTGTAGAACAATATGAAGAAACTTAATCCATCTGATATTCAAAATCTGATGAGGTTTCAATGTAATCTCTTATCTCTTCCTGTGTTGTTTGCTGTGTGTATTCTTTTGTTGCTTCTTCAGTCTTTGGTGGTTTTGGATTCTTAACATTGTTGATGTGTTTTTTGGTTCTTTCGTGTTTTGCTTTCTGACTAAGTGAGACCATACATCTACAGTATTGACAGTCAATTTTCCTTTGGTTGTATTCTTTTCTGTATTCTTGCTTGTGTTCTTTATTCTTTTCATAGTGTTTTTTATCCCATTCAGCGTGCTTGTCTTTATTGTTGTAATAATATGTGTGTCTTTGTTTGATACAATCATTACATTGTTTTCTATCTTTATCAAAATGTAGTTGTTCTTTTGTTTTTAGACATCTTGAGCATTGCTTCGCTTCAGGCTTTTCCATATCAATAATATATAGTGTTCCTAAGTCTTTAACAGTGTTTCTAGGTCAAACTTAATTCAGGGGTATTCATAGGTTAAAAGTTCACTATATTTAAAACCTATAAGTTTATAAATGTTGTAATCATATTATAGTTATAGAATAATATGAATAAACCTATTTTCAGTGTTTCCAGTCTCCTATGTTGTTCCAAGAACTGCTCAAAATGTCTCTGATATTATACCAGATTAAGTTAACGTCATAATCTTTCATTGGTGCCCTTTGTTGTTGTATTAAATAACGCAACACTGATATCAAAGTATAATAATTACAATGCATTGTTGTCATTCCTCCTCTTTCGTTAATACTATTACCATTATGTTTAACGAGTTCTTCTTTCATTATGTTTTCGTAAATCTCTTTTATCCATTGATGATTTTGTTCTCCATACTCGGCGAACATATCTGGATATATATCTTCCATTGTTTTATCGTTTTTAATTATTTCAATGACTTGTTTATATGATGGATAGGGATTATCCTTAATGAAACTCAATATTATCTTTCTATCCTGTTCCAGCTCTTTTTCTGTCACTCCTATCATTGGCATTTCACTTCTTAATATTATAAGTTAATATTTCTTTAAGTCTTTCTATTTTTAGATGAGACATTCGTTTTTCATGTTGGTATTATGGAAAGTTGAACCCCGCCCCAGGAGTAAATCACATTGTGATTACAAATCCCAATTTTGAGGATTTCAACCCTTCAACCACAAGGATTTGAAAATCCCACATCACAGGAACTGAAATCCCAAATCTCGGGATTTGAAATCCCGAATCCCGGGATTCGGGATTTCTCAGTTCCACTAAATAATTCTCATAATTTACTGCTAATAGAATTAATTAGATATGACTATTTTCATCTGATGACATCAGTTTATCCATCAATCGTTGATGTCTTTGTGATTTCAAATGTTGTGCGTTGTCTGCTCTTCTTATGACTAAACCACAGGAACAAAGAATCCTTTGATTTTGTCTTTCCTCTATCTTCTCCTTGTTTTTGTTAAAGTATTCTTTGATATACTCTGTGCGACGGTCCTTATTGTTAATGGCGTATTCTTTGCTTCTATGTTTAATATCTTCTTTGTGTGTTTTGTAGTATTCCTTGAACTTCTGCTTTAATTCTTGTCTATGTGAAATGTAGTATTTGTTGTCGGCGTCCTTCTTCTTTTCTTTTGTTTCGTGTCTATATTCCGCTTTTGTTCTACCTGCTAGATTTGAATTACAAACCATGTTTTCTCTGATGATTTCACCTTCTCTTCTATTAAGTTCTTCACGCGACGCACTCGGGAATTGCTCAATGAGTTCTATGTAAAACTTATCTACACCTAATTCATTCATTTTCAAATACAATGCTTTTGTCTTTTCACGACCTTTATTGACACGACATTTATGTTCAAAATACCTTTTGTGTAATGGTTGAATTGTGCTTCCTAAATAGACTGTATCATCAACAATATTTCTCACAGCATAAACTTTACCATTTGTATATTTATTTGTTGGTCGGTTTTCCTCCATATATACAACTAATGAATTTTAACCTTTAGTGCCCTTTAATCCTGTAATGTCCATAGGGAATTGAATTGAAAGCGTCAAAATAATGTCTTTTATTCTCATAATTACTCAGAGATTGCTTAATCTGACTCATTGAATAAATCTGATGAGTGCGACTTCTAATAAAGTTGTAGGAGATTTCGTGCTTTTTGTTGTGATGCAGTGCTTCATGATAGTTCTGATAGGTCAGTTCCTTCTTCACCTTGTGCTTGACTACACCTTTTGATTTCTTGTGTTCCTCATCCTCGCCGTGGATTGTGAAAGCATAGGATTTAGGTTTCAACCCGATGAATCTAGTAATGATTTTACCGTTGACTTCATCTTTGTACATTCCTAAGACCTTCTTATTTGTTGTGTCATGACATGGATGTTCAACAGGATAATCACTAAAATCCATATGTTGCTTGATACCTTGAAAATCCTTGTAGACATCATCAGTGAAGGTTTGAATTACATAACTGTCAGTATCTGTATATATCAATTTGATATTTTCGTTGTATTTCTTTTTCAACACACCATAGTAAAACTCATACATATGTAATTTACTCAAATCCAATATTGTCATTCCTAAGAATATGGGTTTATCCAATTTCAAGACCGACTTTGTCTTTTCCACTCCTACCAGATTTTCATTTATGATAAATCTATTTTTGAATGTTGGATTATTCACACATTTTTCATACCTAACATCATTATCTACCAGTTCAAAATCCATATGTTTTCTTTTGTCTTCCATCGTTTTTCCATACACAGCGTTATTCATTAATTTAAACAAATCCTTCTCAAAGTCGCTCTTCGCTTCTTTTCTCTTACCAGTGTTGAAGTCAATCCATGGTTTCAACCAAGCCCTCTGTTGAAATTTTATTATCCTATGAACCTTGGTGAGTTTCATACCCATTTTTAGATAATACTGTAAAGTCTTGATATGAACAACATATTTTTCTTTATCTTTCAAATTTAATATTAACTTGCTGGTTTTCTCATCCTTCGGTTCTTTGTTTCCATAGTAGATTTTGAAGATTTCCTTTTGATAGTCTGACAACATATTAGCATTGACATTCATTATTTCCGGTGCTAGTGGATAGTCCGAATGGTAGTCATGTAGTGTTTCTGGATATTCCAAATCCACTTCAAGGATGAAACCATACTCATCTTTTTCATCCCACTTTTCAATGTTAGGTGTTTTCTTTGTCCATTTGATGTTCTTTAAAGGCAATTTTTGAGACATCGCCAGACCATACAGATTGTTAGCATCTAAGTAATTGATATAACTTGACGGTTTACTTTCATCAAAGGCTTCATCCATATACTTATTGTTAGCCATAGCCAGTTTATGACTGACCTGACACATGCCTCCTCTCATTCCCTGTTCAACCATCTCATACATTTCTTTATCGTGCAACTGCTCAATTTCAACACCAGTTTTCAACAACATAGCTTCCCAAGCGAAGTTAGGAAGTGTATAATAATGAGCGGGGTCCAAACCGTAATATTCCATACATAAGTCTCTAAAGTTTTCAAAAACATCAGTCAATAATAAAACATCGGTTCTCAAATACAAGTCGTGATATTGTCCTAATGTTCTAATACCGAAGTGTTTCCAAACCTTTTGTGCCCTTTCATAATCTTTGTCACTGACATGTTCCTCACTTAATTTACTGTAGAACGCTTCTTTTGATGGTAAGTTTCTTTCAGTAAATCTGTCAAAACTATCAAAATAGTCATAAGGATAAATCCCCTTGTCAGTCAACAAGTCCAAATCTTCATCGGTTTTAACATATGGATTTCTAACACTGTATCTAAAATTGTTCTTCCAGTTCTCACGCCTTTTATCATCTTCATACTTACTCAACTTTACCAACTTATCCAACGAAGACGATAAGAAGCTAAAACTGTCCTTGAAACAAAGGTTTTTAAAACCAAAGGTTATGAACTTCTCGCTGTTCTGTGCGATGCAATCGATTTTAGCATTCTTGCTCAGTTCGTGTGCCTTGTTGATGATTAAGTGAGCGTCATAGTTTTTAAGGTTATGAAGAAAGACTGGTATTTTATAATATCTCATACTGAAAGCAAGATTACAATCATCATGAGCACAACCTCTATATTTACCTGTAAAATGGCAATGGTCTCTAACTTTTTTATCCCCTTCCTGAAAGCCCTTTCCACAAACGAAACACTTAGTAGCAGTGTCAAAATCTGTTTTATCGTCCTCAGTCATGATTATCTCTTTCACTTCCTTC